CTGACCAGGCCTCAGGGTGACATCATCTAGACATGTCAGCCCGTTTGCTGAGCCCCTCTCCCCAGAAGTCCCTTTGCTCCCATTCTCTGGGCAGCCCCCTCACAGTTGCCTTTGAAAGCCTCATGCTGTGAGGGACTCTCCTAGCCAGCAAATCTCTCAAAGCATCACCCAAATCTGATCATGGTGTGTGTCTGCTACTCACAGTTATATCTTTTTCCTGGATCAGCACCCTCATCCCTCAAACTCACAACAATGGCATTTGAATAAGGAGAATAAGGATTCAGAGAGATCCGTGATAGCTTGATGTTACACATGGGTGTGACTAAATGTTTACCTTACAGTGACATGAGAAAATGATTTTCTTTTATGAGGTAGCAAAGAATGCCTCTCAAAGTGAATATGTCATTATATTGAGTTAGGAGGATAGAATTCTCTAAGGATAACTTGGCCCAGCAACAAAAGAACTAACCTACCTACCATAAGGAATTTAAGGAGGTAGGGGAGAAAAGAAGGAGATGGAAGAAGGAAGGAGTGTGGGGTGGTTGAGAAAAACAGCAGCAGAGGAAAGGCCTGTGGCGGAAGGCCAGCCCAGGAGAAATGCTCATTAACAGGGAGGGCCGGAGAGCTCACAAACAGGGATCTCCAGCGTGCCATTTCACGTGCTTTGGTCTGGGTTCCAGCAATGCCCTGCTGCTACTCCTGCCATCCGACATCTTTTTCAGGTCTTTATGCAAGTGATATTTGGACAAATCAAAGAAACTATTGCTGGGTCAGGGTGGAGCCAAGAGACCAGGATAGAGGCAGTCAGAAGTGAAGAAGAAATGACATCAGATCAAAGCATGGGCACAAGCCTGTAAGTGCCCCAGATGGAGGAGAAGACAGCACTCCAGGTGGAAGGAGTCTTGTCTGTGAAGGATCTGCCGAAGATATGAGTGTAACACATTTAAAACAGATTGACCTTGGAAGAGCTGTTTCTGTGAAGCCATGGTGATAGGAACCAGAGAGTGGAGATGGAAAGTGTCATCTGCTCTTCCTAGAACGCTGGCTATGCGGGAAAGAGAGAAAGCATGTCAACTAAGTGCGGTTGTATGATTAGGCCACCACATTTTCAGGAGGCTATTTTTTAAGATTAAAAAGAGGGAAACTAGTGAAGCAGGACTTTGATCAGAGAGGTAGGAGGAAAGAAGATGAATGTAGTGAGGGATAATAGTTACAACTAAAATTTTGATTCAGTCTTGATTAAAATGGAAAAAACTATAAATATTTTGATGGCATTCATTAGGACGACTTCAGAGGATAATTTTCTTGGCATTCCTTGATAATTCAAAATGCTATACTGGTAATTTACATTCTTAGCAAGAGAATGAAGAAGACAAAAATATTTATGTCCCAATGACCAGAATCACAACGACCAGAAAGCAACCTTAGAAATCAACTAGGAGGGACGAAGGCCCTTTCATTTAAGTTGAAAACTTTATAAGCTATGCCTTGCTGTCATAAATTATAGCTTCTCTCTGTAACATTGACAAATGTAGGTCAAGAGGCTTTCAAAGATACTCAATTTTAACTCTAAAATTAAGTTCAATTACCCAGGTCTGAATCCTTTCATTGCAAGACTGATGTATATCATACATAAAATGACATTTGTCATAGGAAGTTGCATTTTTTATTTAGCTAAGAAATGATTACTTTAGAAAATCCTGTTTTCTCCCTTAAGCACTTGTTGACTTCACCAGCCTGTGTTAATTATACATATAAATGCAAGTAGATAGGATATAGGTGTAGAAATAAAGACAGACTTACATAGTCACAGTCATAGACATACATAACACATAGACAAGCTATGATGTTATGAGTTTTGTGCTAATAAGAAAAGTTGAGACCCTTTGGGTGCAGTTGACATTGTCCCTGTAATAAATTTTAATCCAATCCAAATACCAACACAAGTTTTCAATCCAAACACAACTTAATTTGATTTCTTCTGCAGTATAGATGTCCAGAAAGGAACAAATGAGGCATGGGAAGATCCATGGGGTTAAAGGCTACAGAGAGGTCAATGAAGAAAGTCCAGGAAGGACTTGTTCCTGGAGAAGTGAGAAGTCTGGTGCTGTATGAAGAGAGCTTTGTGCAAGGAAATGAAAGTTCAGGGGAAGATTAGGTGGCAAAAAGTCTCACGAAATGGAGAAGAGAAAAGAAAGCGAGAGTGTCAGTATTAAGGGTAATTTCTTTCGGAAAAGATGAGAAGAGAGAAAGATGAATACTCAAGTATTAGTGAAAGATAAAGGCAAATAAGTTTAGCATTGAGCTAATAGCTAGAGTTATAAATCACAGTCTCCCATTTATCTGCTTTTGACCCATTTTTATTTTCTTTGGACTCCTCTAGGGGCAAAGTTCTCTTTTTGAAGCCTTTACTCTCTTTCATCATTTAATAATTGCATCTATTTTTTTCGGCATTTATTAAAAAGGCTATTTCTCAGCCCTTGGAATGCACTGGCATTAAAGGTGAGAAAAAGAAGCTGTACTTTGAACTCTTGCAAAGAAAAGCACTTTAGAAATCAAAGGCACTGCCGTATTGTTATTATTCTGTCCTTTCCCTGAAGGCTTGGCATGACATCATTTCTGATCTGAAAGAGAAGTCTTTCTGTTTAGCCATTATATTAATAAATCTGTGACTCTAAAAAAGGAATGAATATGTAAATCGATCAACCTAGCCTGATAATCTCCCCCTTCCCTTAGTTCCACTGCTATGGATCCGAGCCAGAAATCAGAACTAGCATTGTAACTCATTCCATCTCCTACATAAATCACAACCAGTACTGCAAAAAGTGTAGGGGCAGATAGCCAAGTACCATCAGTTCTGTGTAGAGACCAACAAGCTCAATGGGCCTTTAAACATGAAATATTAACTCATGAATAATCTTTTCATGTTTTTACACTGTTATGTAACCAATTGCTTATTATAGTGACAATTTGCCTTAATATTGGAATAAATATTTGAAGACAAAACTAAATTATTTTGGAAATAAGTAATAAATATTTATAAGAAAAGTACCAGTTATTCTTTATAAAGTACAATAGGAGGAATCTTAACAATACCCAGGAAAAACCCTTAACTAGGAGAACTCCTAGTTAATACTTTCCCTGCTCAGGTAGCTCCATAAAATGTATCACCCATCAGGAAATGTCTGATAACAGCCTGAGGGGAAAGAATGCTTTAAACTAGGAATGTGATTCACACTTGGCAGTTCATAATATAATTGGATATCACTTGTAGATGAGCAGGTTTAAAAAGAAAAAAATTTTAACAGAATGTGGACGTGATTCCAAGTTGTGATTGCTCAACATGTTCAATTATTTTATTTAGATATACATAGTAGTTTCTCCATAGTTGACCACCTCCCTACACTGGCCACCTTCCTAAGTCAATCTAATTTTCATAGACCAAACACACACTACATGTACATTATCAGTACAGTAGGCCTAGTTCCCTATGTTGACCATGTCCATATGCAGACCAGCCTGTTATGGTCCCCAGTGTGGTCAATTTACAGCAGCTCTGCTATATATAAAGACAGAAGTTAATGACAGGTATGGAAAAAAAAAATAGCTTGAGATTTTTGTATCTACCCAGCAACTGAAGTTTATTTACATCCTTAGAGATCCAACCTAAATTATAATAAAGGGCATTTATTTTCACATATTTCCATCACACAGAAGTCAAAGAGACATTAGAAGTCTACATGGTAGATGAAAATTTTAGGAAATAAACCAATCTAATATTAGACAAGCACATAGTTTAATAACATTCTCTTTCCCAATTATTAGAATTGGAAAAAGAGATCCCATTGAAACATGAAAATACTTGGTGAGGATATTCTAGAGGTTGATACATAAAAATATTTTTGGATATCTGAAAGCCAAACCAAATCAGAGACCTATTTTGCTTTCTGTGTTAGTGATAACAGGAATTCTATGCTTGTAGAACGTGCTTCTTTGAAGTCTGGAGTGTAGGCTCCATGTTTTGTTCATTCACTAACAAATCCCCAGATCCTAGAGCACGATCTGGCCCAGGCTAGTGGTTATCAAATACTTATTAAATTGAATTGCTGCTGGCATTTCTAGCATGGGAATTGTAAAACAAGGTATCCTCCACACGATCTATAATTTTAGTTATAACTATTGCTCTCAACAAAAAAAAAAGGTAGAAAACTCTCATTTGTCACTTTACATTTACAAAGAACACGCCACACCTATCTCCATCTGGTCCTCTGAGTTCAGCACTTCCTGGAAGCATCTGGGCACCAGAAGCCCACATTGGAGCCCCTGCCGGTCTTGAATCTGTTCTCTCCCTCTGCCACTGTTAAGGATTAAAGTGTATCCACTCCCAAAATTCATATGTTGAAGTCCTAACCTGCAATTTCTCAGGGTGTGACCTTACTTGGAAATAGGGTCATTGTCCACGTAATTAGTTAAATTAGGCTGGACCCCTGATCCAATATTATTGTTGGGAAATTTGGAGTCAAGCATGCACACAGGAAGAAGGGCATTTGAAGATGAAAGCAGAGATCAGGACAACACTTACACAACCAAGCAATGCCAGTGCTTGCCAGGAAGCCAGCAGAAGTTCAGGGAGCCCACAGAATAAATCCTCCCTCTCCCTGAGAAGGAACCAACCCTACTGACATCTTAACCTTTGACTTCCAGCTTCCAGAACTATGAGACAATGAATTTCTATTGCTTAAGCCATCCAGTTAGTGGCACTTCATTACAGCCCTAGCAAACTAACACAGCCACATGTTTACTCCTATAGCTTATCAGATTTCCTACCGGGGGCACTTCAGCCCTCACCTCACTCCCACTGGGCACAAGTCTTGTTCAGAGCTCACATGCGCAAAATTTCTTCCAATTTGTTCCAAAGCATCCACAATTACATGTTGTCAATGTCTGAAGCATTCTTTCATTTGACAGCACTAGAATGACAGCTGACCCTTTTCACTTACCTTCTGCTGGCTCCAGTGCTTGGGGTGACACTATAACCTGGAGGGGGTGGCGGGAACCAGGACTGTCTGTTGAGAAATGACATCAGTAATAAACATAATGCTTGGAAGGCTGATCCCACCCACATGTCTGAAAATAATTTGACCATTAGAAAGACAATGAGATTATACAAGGCTTGGAAATAAAATGAATACTGATTCATAAAGAAAATAGAAGGTAAGTGCCCTATATTCCAGGCTATCTGCTCCTTGAAATTTCTTTTTGCATTTCTTTTGGCACTAAATAATGCAGAAATTTCTTCTAAAGGAAATCTGGAAAATTAGTTAATTTATTCAAGTTAACATTGCTAAATTTAGATAGTAGGTTCACAGATATTGGTCACGTTATCATGGTGTTTTTTCTATTTTTCTGCATATCGCAACTATTTCATAACAGAAATAACAATCTTATACTCTACTCAAAATGTGATTTAAAAAAAAATAAGTATGATAGAAAACTCTGGCAAATGAGAATATTGAAAACATGAATGGCATCAGAGCAACACTGACCTCAATTTTAACCTCAGTCAGAGTGATGTCCTCAAATCACTAGGACATCATTTTAATTGGTAGCGATAGTCAAGACCTCTGTCAGAAAAAGTCTAAGATATGAACCCAAACCAAAGATGTAGTGATGCAAACTAGATAAGGAAAGGCTGGAACAAGGAGGACAAGAGAGCTGGCTCTAAATTCTTGAAGTTGCTCTGTTCTCTGGGACACCATCGGACTGAACTAAGACCAGCTGGGAGTCAATCAAAAAAGTTCCAGCTTAATGTAAGGAGTAGATGGGGCCCAGGAGAGCAAGTTGAAGGTGTATCGTAGTGACAATCTTATTTTCTTGCCCTGGGTAAAAGACTAACCTAACTGATCTTAAATCGCTCTTTCAACCTTAGGAATTTGTTTTTAACAGACACAGGAGCAAGGGGATGTGAAATTTTGGTTCAAGGGAAAGGTGGATGACATTTTCTGAGAGTCTGCAGTTATAATCAGAAAACCTTGACTGAAAAAAAAAAATAGAATCAGTCATTTCTCTGCAGGAGGATTACAGTAGCACCATGGCAAAGTCAGCCAATCATTCAACAAACACTGAGCACCTGCCCTAGATCAGGCATGGCCTAGGTGCAGGCAAAGAAATTAAAATCAAAAGCTCTGAGGTTTGCCGTTTATGATGCTTGTTTTGCATTTGCAGCAGGACTCACTGGCATACAGAAATCTCTTCCCTCATCATGCTCCCTCCCATGAAGAACGTCTAGGCTACCACAGGTCCACCTATCTCTCCCTGACTACTATTTTCGTGGAACCACCAGCAGAATGTGGGTGGCCAGGTAGAAGGAATCACAGGAGGAAGAAATAATCACATAAACCCAGATGTCTGGAGAGATGGCCTAGGACTCTGAACTTGGAAGGAAGCTCAGCCCAATCTGCAGAGCAGGCTGGGTTAAGGAGCATGACCACACGTGGCCGTACATGGCTCAGCATCTCAGGCTAGGGCATTCCCTGTAGCAGGACTCTGGTGAAGCATGTAGCCCAAAGTGGCCTGCCATTTAACATCTCAGCTCTATCATCAAAAGCATTACCTAAACACTCAAGGCCCTGAGGGAACCAGAGAGAGGACCGCGTATTTTAAAAGGAGATTGGGGTGGGGGGAAGTTTGGGAACAGCAGTATGTAGGTGCTGGATCTACAGGAAGGAGAAGCAGCAGCTTCTGAACACTGCCTGGAGTTTCTGTGGGTGATTTGGCTCAGGAGTCAATGAAGGACAGTTCTTGATGGGATATCAGCTAGAGGCAGAGGCAAGGAGCTCTCATCATACCTCTTCTTCTTCACGGGAGTGGTTGCAGAGGGGGAAACTGTGGGATTAGCAGTGTTGGAGCTCAACAAACCACCAGGTTGCCTGTTTAATGACAAAACAACAAATCATCACATTCCTCACCTTTTCATTCTGATCCACCTTTGAGAGTCTTATAACCTGCCCATATTCCCGCCTGCTCTCTGTCTACCACAGTGTTTCACCTGAGGATGGAAGAACAATGAAAAACAGTTCTTCCTCAGTTTACCTATTTATAAACTGTCAGGCTCCCTTATAACTAGCTAAAGCTGAAGGAAACGAATGAGGAAGTCAGTCATAAAATGACATCCATTATATGTCTTAAAGTCAGACCAATCAATACTGATGTGCCACACGCACACTCAAGTTTTTAATCCTGCGATTACTTTGTGACCAACATAATTATAGTTTTTGCATTAAATTATATATAAATTATAATTTTTTGCATTAAAATTTTTTTTTTTGGCCAAGGCTGGGTTTGAACCTACCACCTCCAGCATATGGAGCCAGTGTCCTACCCTTTTGAGCCACAGGCACTGCCCTAAAACATTACCTTTTTAAGAAAAAAATTTTAAATCATATCATCTTAAGTTTCTATTTAGCATTTATTAATATATTCAGACCTTTGGAAAATGGTAGGGATCTAGGCCTCATTCAAGCACTCAGAGGCATGGTTCAATGTGAGAATTGCTTTACATGTAAATACAAATTTGAAAACAAATTAAGATTAAAAATTTATCTAATTTGGCTGCTTATAACTGCCAGTGGTACATTCTAGGGGAAATGCATTTCACCTAAGTAGGCTGTTAGCAGACCTATGATTTCACAGTTTACTTCTTCCCCAAAACATGAAAGGTAGGTGGCCAGGAAAGTGAGGTATAGGGGAAACAAGTGGGGGTCAAAGAAAACAAAGCTTGGTGGGGGGAAAAATAGAGTCTAGATTATTTTTAAAGAAGGAAAAAGGATGACCCACACTTTAGTGTTTTGCCAGCAACGGTCGGCAACTTTTTCTGCAAAAGTTAAGATAGCAAATATTTGAACCTTTGCAGACCTTTTCATTATCTGACCTCTACTAGTCAACTCTGCCAAAGCAACAGAGATATGACTGTGTTCCAAAAAAACTGTGTCCTGAGAGTGGTTACCCTGTTTTCTTTTGAATACATACAAAGAAAGACACTTCAGTTAGACAAGTACATACGGCTTTGTTGCTACTGGTGATCTAAATGCGGACATGCTCCTGGTGAGGGAGAGAGAAAAAGAGGCAAAGTTTGAGCAGCAATGAAAAATTAATACTTCCTATTAATTCCTATTTGCAATTGTCCATGAATTTGGAGTTATTAAAAGTTAAGTATTATGTGAGAGAAAGAAAGAGAAAGAAAAAGAAAACATCAATATTTGAATAAATTCAAATAAATTGGATAAGGTGATTTCATGATTCCATTTCTTGAACTAGATTTCAAAAGAAATTTTTTCTTCTGAAAAGTCAGTATCTCTTAAAATCCCAATGTTTTCATTTGTGAGGTTTAGTAATTTTCTTTCTCAGTAAGAATTTAAAATATGCATTTGTATGTATTTTGTAATTTTGTTACCCAGACACCTCAAACAGAAACATAAATGTGTAAGAATGACCACCTGATGCAGGGGTAGAGACTCTGTGGCCTGAACAATTTGGAATTCAGCCAAAAGGCCACACGTAAGGATCTAGAAAGCTATGTGTGGCTGTCAGGATGCAAGTTCTCCACCCTTAAGAAGCAATGAGCTCTCTTGATTTGAGCCAGGCAAGATTTTATTCCAGCCATGAGGAAGAATAAAGGTTTTCCCTTCAGAATTTTTACAATAACCATATGGAAGATAGGAATTTACAGAAAGATATCAAGTAAGACTGGAGAATTATAAGTAAATAAGTAATTTAGAAAAATTTAGAAATGTGTGTGAGCCTTTCCCAAAGTTAGTAGATACCAGTACCTATTGGTTAGTTGGTTATCCAAGGTATTGGCCTTATACGTTTTAGCAGCATCATTTCTGTCTGAGAGCCTTTATAAAGAAACAAGACAAAAACCTGAATGAACATTTAGATTATTTAACTCCTTTCAGGCCTCATTCATGCTAGAATAACTTCACAACACAACCTTTCTTTAGTAGAAAGAACTGTTTCCTCAAGTGTTACATTTTAGAAAATTGTCCATTTTTTAAAAAATAACTATCTTATGACAAAATATACATATAGGCTATTTTGATATAGTTTGAAATTTTAAAAGGATTATGCCTTTTGCCAGTTTTCCTTACTGACTCACTGAGAAATTAACCAATAAACTACTTTCATATTCATTACTGTTCAGTAATATATCCAGTCAAGGATAATAGTTCTTATGTTGGTAAAAGGCATCAATGGACTACTTAAATTCTTTTAAAATATTTTGTGGCATAGACAGTGTCATGTGTTTGCCACGCTCATTTTCTTTTCTTCCCGAGCACACAGGAAGACCACATTTCTCAATCTTCTTTGCAATTAAGTTGGAGCCATGTGACTGAGTTCTAAACTAAAAAATGCAGGCAGAAATGTTATTTGCTACTGCAAGACCCAACATAAAACTTCCTGCGTAGTCTTCTATGTCCTCTCTTTCCCTTCTACTATGGCTTTGGTCCCCCATAGGCTGGAGATGGCAGCGTTAAAACATAGAAAAGACTCCAGCAATTCACACTGGATGCTGATGAGTCAAGCAGTTCCTTTTATAGTGAAACCATCTGGATTTGGGGGAAAGGAAGGGAACTTGTTAAATTAGTTTACTTTGACTAACACGTGGACCGTTACAAAAGTTTTGAGATACACAAAATCAAGACACATAAAATCTTCATGAAAGGTAAAGCCGTTCCAGCAACAGGATAGCCGAGCAAGTTAAAACTTGCACAGGATGCATCAGAAAGGATGCTGTCAACAGTGTTTCTTGGGAAGTGAAATAATGGACCGTAACACAGTCTGTCTCAAAACTTTCATCGTCACCAATGTACATTTAGTTAGTAGGTTCTAACAGCCTCAGATATTTTAATCCCTCTAACCTCATAGCTCTAGGACAGGTGTGGGGCCCCGTGAGTTAGGAAACACAAATTAGGAAGGTTATCATTCCATGCCAAAGGTGGTGTCTCATGACTTCAGCCCTGTTCCTTCCTTCCTTGTCTCACACCAGATAGGAAGACTCCTCCTAAGACTTAGGGCTGTCTTTGGGAACATTCTGCAAGCTTTCATGAAGGTAGGATGTGGCAAAGTTAGATTCAGGAAAACAAAAAATCATAAGACTCTTCTATTGATCTACTATAACATTCCCCAGGACATGGCTTTAAATAAACTATTCCTGCTATGGAGGACCCCAACCTTGCCTCTATCTAAAGGAAAGTCATGGGGGAAAAATATGACTTTATTTAAAATAAAGTATGATCTGTTTTAGTCATAAGCTAAAGTCATTTTAATTTCTAGATGCTATTTTTATGTCCATAACTAAAATATTGAGTGATAACTCTAATCCATTAAGTTTCTGAGTCAACCCCAGTTTCTGTTCTGTTACATAATACCACAAACTGCTAACTCTTGAATTCAAAAGGAGGAATAAATAACTGGTTGTAACACTCCATAGTTTCATATTCTTCACAGACTGTTCACAATACAGGCCTTAATATCAACATAATCCTAGAAGCCAAGTGCAAAAGACTTCTAAGATGATCAGCTGGCCAAAGAATAGGATAACATCCCTGGCACTAACTGAAGCCTCCAAGGCCCTGAGATGTTTTGATTTCAAGGGCGCTTCAGTAAATCACTACGATGACTATAAGCGAAAGGCCATGTAATCAAAAATCTTAAATCTTAAGGGTTCCTTAGGAATCTAACTCAGACTTTATAGCTGCCTAGAAGATCCACATATAAGATAAAAGTAAACGTGAAAAACTGCTACTCTGGCATACTGAAAACAGCAATCTGTCTAAAGTAAATGGAACTTTAATATCAAATGTTCTCAAGGTGGGTCATGATGTTAAAACTTAATTAAAATTCCACAGTATAAATGTATATGGACAATACTAAATATAATGAAAATAGCTACTGACTACTGTTTGATGGCCACTTCATATATTTTCTCAATTCCTCAGAACATCCCTTCAAGGTAGGTATAATTTTTGTCATTTTATAGATAGTGACATGGAGACTCAGAGAAATTGTGTGACTTTCTCTTGGTTTTACAAATGGGAAGTAGTCTACTTCCTGAGTCTTTTCACTGGGACTAGTGATATACATCTGATTCTATAGTGTGATTGTCCCCCAAACATACATATTAGGTTGACACGTCTTTCTTCAGTTATTTTTCTTCACCTCTCACAATTTCATTCATGCTACCAGAGGGATACGTCTACCACTAGCAATGGAGAGAACTCTAAACCATCATTCCAACACACATGTCAATTTTCTTACTGCTGGGGGAAATTAAAGTTTTATTTATCCTTTAAATTAAGTTTCTGTCAATGTGAGGTTTTAAAGGTTATTTTAGTAGAAACAACGTATTTTAGTGGGTCTTGGAGACAGGAAATACTCAACTGAGCAATATGATGAAAAGAACCAAAGGAAAAGTTAAACTTTCACAGAGAGCACTAGGGGGCGCCCCAACCTAGGTTTTCCCAATTAGTCATTTAAACTCCTTCAGGATCTGGGCCATACCTGTACACTACATGCACTAATATCTACTTCTGTTTCTTTAGCACATCTCATATTTCAGCCCCATGTTTATATTTCAGTAAGGAAATCCTCAAACATAAACTCAGTATTTTTATCATATTCATGAAAAGAAATGCATTATTATTAAAACACACACACACAGGCCAGATATATTTGATCATCTTCCTCCTAAAATTATTTTACATCCCCATGTTGGAGTTGCCAACATCACAGAAGTCCAAATCCTGCTAACAGGCCTGGCCTTTCTTTACTGACTTCTGTGTTTTCTTCCTTTCTTCTATTTCCACACTCACTGCCTTGCAAATGAGTTGACCAGGGAATTTCTGCCAAGTATGCAGCTAAACCTCTGTGTAAATAAATTATATAGTTTCTAGTATATAAAATTAATGGCTTGGGTTCTGTTCATGGTTGTAAGTCTTGGTTGCACATTAGAAATACTTTATGAGCTTGAAAAAATGCCTGAATTCTACCTCAGGCTGATTAAATCAGAATTAAGGGAGCAAAGGCTATGTTAGGACCCAGGTGTCAATAAAGTTCAAAAGCTCCTCAGTGGTTCTCATTTGCCACTGAGGTTAAGAATAACTTAACCAGAACACCTGCAAGGTCTAGTCCATTTCTAACATTTCAAGGCTGTGGTTGCACTGGCCTGACATAAATGTTAGACACACAGCCTACAAAAGCTTAGATCTCCCACCTTTCTTGAGGCTTAATTATCTCACCTCAGAATTCATTCTTACAAATAGAGTTTCTTTCTTCAATTAACTGTGCCATGGGACAGTCTGCAAGCCCAGGTTGAATGGACAGAGATATTTATTTGGTCATCTCTTCTCTATGTACTGCTGTGGAAATGACATCTTATACATTAACTTATACATAAACTCATTTTTGACAAAGCGGATAATTAAAAAAGAAAGGCCAGGCTGGGTGCAGTGGCTCATGCCTGTAATCCTAGCACTCTGGGAGGTCGAGGTAGGTGGATTGCCTAAACAAGAGTGAGACCCCATGTGCCTGTAGTCCCAGCTACTTGGGAGGCTGAAATAAGAAGATGGCTTGTGCCCAAGGGTTTGATGTTACTGTGAGCTATGATACCATGGCACTCTAGTGAGGGCAACAAAGTGAGACTCTGTCCCAAGTAAAGAAAAAGAGAGAGAGGTCAACTTATTAGGATACCAGGGTTGATTGCCCTCTCTGAGGGAGACTAATCTGAAAGCCCGTGAGTAGTGCAGAAATACATGCATTTGCTATATTAATCAACACTAGCATAGTCTGAATACAGAGTCCATTAATTGCTGCAAGTTTCAGCTTATTTGCTTACAACCCAATAGGTGCCATTAATGCCTACAATTGTAGCATATCTTTAGCTACTGGGAGTGATTCAGCTCTCACTGGCCTTGAGTGTCCATGATGCCTAGACTCCTATTAAAGATGTTAACTTTGTTCATTATGTATACTTACTAAGTAGGCCTACCAAATCTAAACTAAAAATATGATTTGTTATAATTGCCAAATTGTGGAAACAATATAAATGCCCATCAATCCAGGAATGGATTAACAAGCTGTGGTGTGTATATATACCATGGAATACTATAGCCACTGAAAAGGATGGTGACTTTACATCTTTTATATTAATTTGGATGGAGTTGAAAAACATTCTTCTTAATAAAGTGCCCTAAGAATGGAGAACCAAGAATCCAATGTACTCAATTCTGATATGAGGACAATTGATGCTAGTATGTGGCCAGGGGACAGGGGATGGGAGAGGGGAAAAAGGAAGGAGAGAGGGGTATGTGGGGCCATGGTGTGTGACACACCTCTTGGGGGTGGGACACTATTAATAGAGGGACTTCAGCCAGCAAACATAAGCAGTGTAACCTGGCACATTGTACCCTCGATGATTCCCCAACAATAAATAAATAAATAAATAAATAACATGATCTGCGGCATTGATACGTCAACCTGAGTAGTAGTTTCCCAGTTGGTTTTCTATAGAGGTGAGCCTTTTGTCTGTTCCTCTATGTAAGAGGAAACTAACAGCAGGTACAACACACAGGACTCCCTCTTCAAGCCACATAGTGACTCCAATGCTGAAAGAGCAGTTTCACTTTGTAAGAGCTAATGTCTTCATTCTGAAGTGGATCAAGACTACTGTGTTATTAAAATTTACAGTCTCTCCATACAGAAGTTGCACAGAAACTGCTGCTTTTCCACCATCAGGATGGGAGAACCAAATGTTGGAAAAGGGACTATTCATAGTTCCCAAAATAACTTCATGTTATTCCACAGAGATCCCACCTTACTTGTATTTGAATCAGTGTCTTTCAGAATTTTTCATATCGATCTACTATTAGCAGAATTTGAGGAAATATGTTTTGTGAGTTCTAAAGAAGATAATTCAATCCTTAAATCCCTCTATCCCTGGGAATAAAATATTAAAGCATATTTTGGTAAACATCTAAATACTTCACAACTTTACAAGAAATCAGATTTAATATGTGCTATGGATTCCACTTGTATGAATCAAAGCACCTTACCTGTCCAACGTGTCGTCAGATCTATATCGACTAATGGTAGCTTTTGGCTCTTGTTTCTCAAGTACTTTCCTGCAGCAAAAATAATTACCAAAAGATCAAATAAATTATAAAATAATATTTTGCAAAACCTATCAATCATTTAGCAGACTTTTAACCTATTTAGGTAGGAAATATACAAGTAAAGACAGATTTGAAGTGCCCAAATCGTCCCAGTTTTTTTTTTAATTGAATGGAATAAATTATTAAAAATCCAATTTCCTGTAGTAATAAAGTATTCTTCTCTGGTTCTAATTATTTCTAACTACAGGGTAACATATTCGAATTGGGGATAAATATATGGAAAGCAATCCAGCATGCATAATGGTTCATAACTAGTATGTATGCTTGTCAAGTTTGCTGATTTTCACATAATAAGAACGCAATCCCTTATAATCAGTTATGGTAGGTTTGCCGGGTTCTAGTAGTGCCGTAAGCCAGGACAATGGGTGAAATTTTTTTTAACATTCAGCACCGTGGACAGGATTGAAAGAAAATAACTCACTAGCTGAAAAAAGGGAAGGACAGAGAAGAAAGAAAGAAGAAGGAAACAAAAAATTTAGAAAAAATATATGTGGAGATGAGAGAAAGGATAGATATGGAAAGAAGAGGGGAAAAATAAAGTGAGAGGAAGAAGTAAGGAAGGGAGCGAGGGAAGGTAAAGGGGAGAGGAAGATAAATGAGCCCAACAAGGTGGGTGAGAAGGAAAAGAAAGTGAATGAGAAAATGAGGGAAGGGAGGGATGCTCAAAAGGAGAAATCACAATCCTGGAAGCAGTAAAAACATCCTGATCAGACTGACCCAACAGCAAAATAGAAACCTGTTTAATGCTTCATACAACCCTATGAAATAAAGAAGGCAAGCTCTTTGGGATGATGCATTTCAAAGCATTATTTAAATTAAAGCCAACAGAATTAGAATAAATACTAAGGACTGAATTAGAATAAATACTAAGACTAGATACTCAAGATCCAGTGTCAAACTCCATGTGGTACGCTTTTACTGAGTGTATATTTGGAGGTAGGCAATATCAAAGCACTATGCCCATGACTATGAAGATGTTTAGAATAGAATAACTATTGGGGTAGATGCACAAATTAGGTATGTGTGTATATCCGAAGGTACAAAGTGGTCAGTGTCATAAAATACATTCAGGTAGTGCCAGGAAGTTCTAAGCTGAGTTCGACATGTAAAACTGAGGGATGAGGTGCCGTTTGAGCTGGGCCTTGGAAGATCAATAGATGTAAACATTTTGAAACCGAGGTAGATAGAACCGAATCAGTTAGGGCTAGAAAAAAGTAAAGAAAAATGCCTAATACAACTCCCTAAGTTTTTATGGAAATCTTGAAGGAGACCACAGCACAGCACGCCATCATGTGCGATGTACGGAAGCAGACAGGCTCTGGAGGGCCTGCTGACTCCTTACACAGGACAGCCCTTCAACACATACCATCATTTTGTATCAGTGTTCTTTCTAGCACTTATCACAAGACATATTACATTGTGTTATAGTACTCTGTTGTGTTACTCTCTCCTCTCCCTCACCTTCGGCTAGGAAGCAGGGTCTATGGAAGGAGGGACTTTGTTTCATCTCCAGTCCTTAGCACAGAGTTTAGCTCACAGTAGCCATCTCACAGGCATGATTTGTCTACCAGCCTTATCTGACATACTTAAGTAATCCACCAAAGATGGACACAGAAAAATCTCCTAGTCTGTAGATAATATGAAGCTATTATGTGAGGTTAAGAGAACATATTGCTCATTTTTCTTTTCCTTCATCTTCAGTCTTTGGTCTTGCCTGTTCTTAGTGCACTTGTCCTCTCTGGGGAAGGACTCCCCTTCCTGCTCTGTGCCAGCCTTGCCCACTTGAGGAACTTCCTCTAATTCTTTAAGCAGCATCAGCAACACCAAAGTTCTTCCTTGGTGAGGTCTCCAGTTGTTCAGACACAGTTTCTTCCCTCTCTATTTCCATAATGCACTCACATGCCTCTACAATAGCACTTTTCATGGTAAATTTTAGTCTTTTATTTTAGTTTATGGACCATTTTTCATGAATGTAAGAGCTCTTACGGTCAAAGATTGTGACGTATGCATCTTTGTGTTCCTGCACTTTGGCACAATGCCAGCACACAGTAGGTCATCCAAAATAGCCCTTGACTGAACATCACATCACATCAAAGTGACAGTGGAAAAATGACAAGTGATCAATGATTTGAGCAAGCGCCAGGAGAAAAACAATCTACCTTACTCTTTCAGGGAGATATAGTACGTAATATCAGCTACAGGTCTAGGGCTTAAAGACTGTTGTTACCAAAGATAAAAGCTTGATATACTACTTCTGCCAAAATTATGGCCATTAAAAGGAAGGATGCAGGCAGCCAATGTAACTGAAAGTACAAAATAGACATGAAAAGCATTGAGCTCCTATTATCCTAAAGTACACTATGTGAATACTAAGAATATGACACTTAGTTTTCACTATCACACTTCAAAACAAGTATGTGTGTTCTTGAGTAGTTTCAGAGAAGGGTCAGTGAAATGGAGGGTGTCATTTCCATTGGGGGTTGAACTCAAACACTGAGGCTCCTCTTGCTTGGTGAGATGAGGGCCAAAAGAGAACCAAGCTGTAATCTTCAAAGTCGCAACAATTAGGAGAGGACCTAGGCAGAGTCCACCGCATCACAGAACAGCAAATCAGCTGAACTGAGGCAAATGGAATGGCTACTTTATAGAGAGCGAAAGGAGTCAAGAGAAATTTATAGATAAAAGTTTCCAAACTAGACATTTTCAAGGCCTCTACTTAACTTTTTAAAATCTGCACCATGAAAAATAATCGTACTTCCATATCGGTGCTAGGCATCTTGGCTCACTCCTATAATCTCAGCACTCTAGGAGGCTGAGGCAGATGGATCGTCTGAGCTCAGGAGTTTGAGACCAACTTGAGCAAGAGTGAGACCCCCATCTCTACCAAAAAAAAAACCCAGAAAAAATAGCCAGGTATAGTGGCACACACTTGTGGTCCTAGTTACTTGGGAGGCTGAGGAAAAAGGATTGCTCAAGCCTAAGAGTTTCAGGTTGCTGTGAGTTACAATGATGCCATAGCACTCTACCCACAGCAACAGAGTGAGTCTCAAAATTTTTTTTAAAAGAAAGTAGCTCTTGGTGACAAACAGACAATAAGCTACTAGACTAGATAAAATGTGTACCTGATACATAATTAGGTCCTTCTGATGGGTGTGGGTGTTTGCCTGCATTCCAAGTACAGATGAGTTTTAATAAGAATATATCTATTTACTTGATCAATCTGAGATGATTTATATCATTGCAATAACAAGTTCTCCCTGAATTTCCCTGCTAATTAGCATTTGGAAGTCTATTTGCCACTAAGAATCAGTGTTTTCCCACAAGCCCAGGAATGTCCACAAAGAAATGTACTCAGAAAGCAAAAGCAAGGGAACTCTAGAGTTGCTATTTCTATATTTAAGAGTCTTTCCCCTAAGGTTCAGCAATGTCTTGCCCAGTTACATTTCTGTGAGAGCCCTTAGTCTATGGGTGCTCACGGGGACCGCCTTGGTGCAGGGATACAGAGGGGTAATGTTCTGCCTCCAGGACATAGTTCTGAGAGAGCAGAGCTGGAGAAGCACACTGCCCTGTAGTAAGCCCCGATGATATCAGATTCTTCCTCACATGCCCAGAATGTCAGGGAAAGTTTGAGACTAGCTACAAATACTAAGCTGTCTTGAATAGGTTTCTCTCAAAACTACCATCTTTGTGCTTCTGCCAACAGTATAACTTGTCTGAACACTCACCTGTCCAAGGCATCATGGGAGTTGTGTCTGCTGAGCACCACCCTACCGTAATTCTCATCTCTACAGAGAAAGAATGAAATTATGTCACATAAAAAGTTGCCACAATATTTGCTAAGCCCTGAATGAGACAGACAGGGGAGAGAGCTTCCAATTTGGGGGAAGGTTAATTTGTTTTACTTCAGGCATAACAACACAACTATATATCTATCTTAACCAGTCACCACTTGAAAGAGCATGGCATAAAGAAACAAGTTTGTCAGTACAAATGATCATCTATCCCATGAGATTACCACATGATTCAATAATGAATGGGTGTTTTGTTTTGCTTTGTTTATCTGAGTGTGGGAACATGAGGCTATCTACTTTATATACATAAGAAGAGTCCTTTTTCTTTCCTTTTGTTTTTATTTTTTATTTTGTTGAGACAGAGCCTCAAGCTGTCGCCCTGGGTAGAGTGCTGTGGCTCTCAGCATAGCAACCTCCAATTCCTGAGCTTAAGCGATTCTCTTGCCTCAGCCTCCCGAGTAGCTGGGACTACAGGCACCCACCACAATGCCCGGCTATTTTTTGGCTATAGTTGTCACTGTTGTTTGGCAGGCCTGGGCTGGATTCAAATCCGCCAGCTCTGGTGTATGTGGCTGACACCTTAGCCACTTGAGCTACAGGCACCAAGCCAGAAGAGTCCTCTTTCTGCAGGAAGGCAAATACAAACGCTTTCTACAAATATTGTTTGAATTTAATGAAGCCCATTATATCTGGATATGTTGGTGTACCAATATATGTAGTTGAGGAGACTGATCATTTGCAGGAGACTTAGTCCATTTTTGAACCATGAGAATACATAGTTTATTCTGTTTTGTCTTTAACTCTACAAATTAGGTAGGGAAGACATTGTCATATCCAATCACAGATGAAGAAATTGATCAAGGATTTGATGTCTTTGCCAAGGTTACAAGGTTAGCAAGTGACAGAGTGGGCCTAGGACCCAGATCTTTTTATTCCAAATCTTTGCTTTTTCTAGTAAACAACCCTGCAATAGAATCTTCAGACACAAAACCCCAAAGCCATGTCTGTCTTTATCTAGTGGACCTGAAAGTACAGGCAATTTCAGGAAATGTCAAAACATGTAGTGGGGCCTCTGGACTTGAACCAAGGCAGAGAGTAGATTATCTAAGCCTTTTTCATGTCAACCCAACCAAACCTGACATACCACATTTTTCCTGGTTCCTCTCCACTAACATTACTCAACGCTCTGGAATCATTTTTAATTAAGCTATAAAATAACTATAGTAGACAATTAAAAGAAAAGATGAGTCGTGAAACTGAAATAATGCCAGCAAATATATACCTGCAAGACCCCAAGAGAACATTCTCATCCTTTTTGGTTTCTCTTCCTAAAACTTTAGAGAGAGTAGTAGATACCAGTTCTTACCCAAAGAAGAATCATAACACACAGCCCAGAACTGGGTCAGTGGGAGTCAGGAAAGCATGAAAGCTAATTCCCCCTCCATTCAGCAGCTCATGCCATCCAAGCAGCTTCCCCATGTTTTTTAGAGAGTCGTGCCTGGCATAAAAGCCACATTCCTACCTACTGTGATTGTCTTATACATCCTCTCTTCCTCCATCTGTGTAAATATTTGCAATCCAAAATTTATGATCTACATTTGATGTCACATTACTACAACAGAAACATGGAAATGCCATATTAGGCTCTTACAGAAGCAATGAGTACTGGTTCATGGAAGGAAATAATTGTTGTCCAACAAAGCTAACTCCAAAAATATGGTGTGAGTCTCTAAATACCCCTACATTTCCCTACTGTAATACGATTCAATAATATAAATTGATAGATATTTTATGTAACATTCACAAGGATACCCCTCAAATAACCATATAGGAACAGTTTTTAGATGGTTTAGAGTATGTGCCCTTACAATTCAGGATTTCTCAACTTCAGGGCTATTGACATTTTGGGTTTGGTAATTTTTGTTGTAGACGCTGTCTTGTGCATCACGGTTTGAAGCATCCTTGATCTATACCCATTAAATGCCAGAAGTGTTCCCCAATTTTGACAACAAAAATGTCTTCCAAATTTTCCAAATGTCCCATGATTGAGAAGTACTTGAGTAATAGAAAGACTATAAACCATGCTAAAATCTCAATTCTGCCACTTAATAACTATGTGCTATTGAACAAGTTACTTAACCTTGCTGAGCCTTAGTTTCTCTCCTATAAAATGAGGATCTAATATCTATCTTGTGTGTTTCACGTGAGATTTAAAGAGGCTTTATATGTAAAGTATCTAGCATCAAGCTGGACAATAAGGAAATCAGAAAATATGTACATTTATATATAAAATACAGTGCATACATAATTTCTAATAAATACATATGGTCTGAAAAAATATATATTATGTATAAATTTATGTTAGCAATTAGGCTATGTGATCAGAGCAGACAAAACTTATTTCATGGTAAGCACTTTCCCTTATAGCAGTGGTTCTCAACCTTCCTAATGCCACAGCACTTTAATAGTTCGCGACCCACAGGTTGAGAACCGCTAACTTATAGAGTAATAGCTCATTGCCCACCTTTTCAATACCTAGAGTTAAATAGCCAGCTGAGACTAAAACAAGTTGGGAATTTATTATTAAATTTGGTTATACTATTATGTGTTTTTTTTTTAATTTTTTTTTAGAGACAGAGTCTTACTTTATTGCCCTTGGTAGAGTGCTCTGGCATCACGACTCACAGAAAGCTCTAACTCCTGGGCTTAGGCGATTCTTCTGCCTCAGCCTCCCAAGTACCTGGGACTACAGGCACCTACCACAACACTCAGATATTTTTTGTTGCAGTTTGACCAGATCCGGGTTCAAACCCACCCCCCCTCGTTATTTGGGGCCAGCGCCCTACCCACTGAGCCACAGGTGCCACCCTATTATGTGTTTGTTTTAACTAACATGAACAACATATCAAAAATCTCCTTATCATGGATTAACTGTCATCTTTTTGAAAACTGGAAAGTCATGTTTGTTTGCTTTTCTGGTTTATCAAGTAAGCGCAATCGCCTATTCTAGGTGACAGCTATGCTCTCTCTCAATAGTGACTCACATTCTCTTCTGTATGTGGATATTAAAAATAGTAAAGATATTCTTATAGTAGAACCAATTTATGCTTGCTAAATCTTACCAAAACTTAGATCATGCAACAAAAGTGTTTTTAAAAGAAAGTGTTTTCAGATGGCCATTAGCTTCCCAGAGAATGCTTCTCACAGCTCTTCCATCCACCCATCACACTCTAAACCCTCTTACTTTTCTTCTTCGGGACGTTTCTTTATCCAGCTATTATCCTGTAAGAAAGTTCTTCTTTTGTTCACTTCCTGAAATCCCTGTTGCCTCAGCCTGGCCCCCTGGGTGGAACTCTTCATGTCTATGAAGAGAAACATGAAACATTGGGAGATGTAACAGTGTGAGGCTGAGTGTGGGCTTGTTAACCTGAGTATCTGGAGAGGCCCATCTTGCAAGTCTAGTACAGCTTCCAAGTAGGATGCACCAGCAAGAAAGGACAAATCTCACACCCCGTAATAAAAGATAACATATACAGCTGGACAGGTGCCAAGTGAAACTGCCGCTCATGAGGCCCCATCCAGCTCCTGGGAAGGCAGAACCACCACCCCAGAATAAACCAAGCCAGAGTTTAGTAGATTGGCCATTTTACTCCATAGTAAACACGCCTCAGAAGGACACCCAAGACTGTTGTTATAGTACCTCGTAAACAATAGTCAGTAAGTCCTGGTGCATTTGATTATATGTAACTTAATTCTTTGATCTTGTGAGAGCCAGAAGCATAGAAAGTCACATTTTAAAAAATTGTATTTATTTGCCAAAATTTCTTTGAATCACAATTACGTGAGCAAAAGCTATAGCCCTCCTTTTCTTAATCCTCACTTTGGTGATGCTAATTCAATCAAACTTGTTTCTAAGCACTCAATATCTGTATTAAAAAATTAGGATCTGTTAGTTGTTTGTCTTAGATCTTTCAGTTTTCTGAGTAAGAGAAACATCATCTACATTACCATTTCCTATGGGAGATGTTTTTCTCGAGGCAAAATTGGACATGCTGCCTTCCAGTAAGGACCTAAAAGAAAAATGGCAACATGAGAAAGCATAAGAATAAGAATCTACAAAAGTCTGTTTCATGGCTAACACATTTCAATGACAGTGACAAAGTCACGTGACCTGGCATAACAGATACATGATATAAAGTGTTCCCTAAGGACCTGAGAGTCTGTTGATTCCAACGTACTTATTTTACAAATGAAGAAAATGAGGCCCAGGGCATTTAGTGTCCCCAATGTGATATAACAAGCAATTGGGTGAATTAAATCACTCCTTCAATCAGTAAATAGGTATGTAGTACCTACAGTGGGCCCGGTTAGGAGCTGGGGACAAAAAGATGAGTTAGACGAGTGTCTGGTCATAGGCAAGAGGGAGAGGGAGACATTGTAGAACCCACAGCGTGGGGTGAGGAATGCCCAGAGAGGGGCACATCTGCTCCTTCTCAGGGATGCCAGAGCAAACTCAAGCAACCAATATATTGCTACAGCATTTTACAAAGATGTGCCCAACATGTAAAGAATATTTTGTAAATATTTTGTAGAATTTTGTCATCAATATTTTGTAAATAAAGGTACATATAGCTATAATTTCCCTTTTTCCCTATGCATGGTGACTTCATGGGCAACTTTTGGGACACTGTGGATGAGAAGAAGCTGGATGTATGAAAATCATAGATCTAGGGCAACATTGGTGATCTCAGGCAACCACCACATGGGAAAGCTCTAAGTTCCTCAGCTCCGACCTGCCACTACTGGTAAAGCTATAGGAAGTTAAGGTAAACCACAGTCCCAGGTCGCCTAGAACTGATCTAGTTCCCCAGAGCTGAACTTTGACTGTTTGGCACGCTTCACGGCCCCTTCTTACACACATACATTCATACACACAAATTAAAAGTTACATTTTGTGACTATGTTAGTGTGTATATAATCTAGGCTGGCTTCATTATTATAATTATTCTTATATTTTTCTTTTGTTGTTGAAAGTAACTAAAATGGAATGCTTCTATGGTCTTAAATGCATCAGGGGCCTCGGGCACTGTGTGTAGACTCAGACTAGCTCTAGGTCTCATTCAGTTTAGAAAATTCCTGGGCAAACCAGATAACTGGTCACCCGAGGTCAGGTGTTACGTTCTTTGCAGTGTCCATCCGACTAGACCATGTGTGAAATGTTGGAGGGGCATTTGATCTCAAGGCAGAAGCAAGTTCTGGGTGCAGCTTTATCACATCAAGTTCTGAGACAGAACTACTTAACCTCCCTGCAAAATGGGGCTAATGAAAACTGCCATCTACTTTGTAAGGCTTTTGTAATGATCAGATGAGTAACGTATACAGAAAAGCACATTGTCAAACTATAAATCCTTTCAGATTTAAGACAGTATTATAGGATAGCTGTCTATGAGTGTAACTTCAGGTTTATAAAGCTCCCACCTCTGTCCTTTGATACAAAAATATCTCCTGCAACAACTTATCATAGGATCAGATGTGGTAAAGACCCATTCTTGGAGTCTTCCTTTAGAATGTCAGGAGTTCTACAGAAGTAGAGCATTCAAGTGCCCAGACCAGGTCCCCTTTACCAGTTTGGGGCTTGGTAGCTACAGGTTCATGACTGCACCTTCCTGGGGGCTTGCTCTTGGCATAGTTGATTAGCTTCCCAACACTACAGCCTGCAGCCAGGCTTGTGCCACACAGTCCCTGACCTGTGCCCTTTGTGCCTTCAACTTACATTACTTGACAGGGCAATTACTAATAGCCCTGCAGTTAGTTAGAATTAGAAAGACCTGCATTTAAATGATGCTATTTACTGACTGTGTCATCTTGGATATGTTATTAGCTCAGGTCCCTCATCTATAAAATGAGGTAAAATCAAGCAATCATGAGGATTGCTTGAAATAACACATGTAAGTATCTAATTATTATCCGACATACAGTAGGTGCCCATAATTCTTAACTGCATGACTCTACTCTATTATCATGGAAAGCAAAGAACCAAGACATAGGAGAGACATGGTTGGATGAGGGGAGGGAATGGAACAGACTTGAACTTGCAGCTGGGCACACAGGCAACACGAGGGAGCCACTAGCTGGCCATGTTGCATTAACTTTGGCAGAAAAGAAGATAAAGAGGCACCTAAAGGCAAACTTAAAATTCAACTAATCATTACTTTTATTCCTGTCTGGTAGTGCTTCCCAGGATTCTTGGCTGCCCTATTTCCTGTTTCCGACTGGGCACTGATAAATTCTTTTCCTTCCAGCTGATGAAGACCCAGAGAATTCTTAGCTGCTTGAACTGGGGCTCTGAGGTGGTGGATGTGCTGATGCATATTTGATGACACATTTGCAGAGATCACAAATTTAATTGTAAGATGAATTTATTGTAAATGAAGAAAATCTGCTTTTTTGTCTGTCTCCCCAAGAGACTGAGTTTCCAGAGGGCAAGGCCGAAGTCTTTCCCTTCTATTCCCAGCATCTGGGACAGAGAAGATTCTCCCTAGAGGCTTGATATTGGCAGAATGCTGTCCCTCCAAAATTCATACGCTGAAGTCTAAGCCCCAGTGCCTCAGAATGTGACTATATTTGGAGATGAGTCCTTAAAAGAAATAATTAAGTTAAAATGAGACCCTTAGGGTGGACATTAATTTAATCTGACTAGTGACCTTATAAGAAAAGAAAATTAGACAAAAAGACACCAGAGAAAAGGCCATGTGAGGACAGAGCAAGAAGGTGGCCAACTGGTAGCCAAGGAGAGGGGCCTCAGGAGAAACCAACTTTGTTTGCACCTTGACCTTGAATTTCCAGTCTCCAGAATAGTAAGACAATGATCTCTTTTGTGGCTTTTTGTTATAGCAGCCTTAGCAAACTAATACAGTCCTTATGAAAAAACTGATTTAAACATTTCTGAAATAGCCAAATCATTTAAAAAGCCTTGCTCCACGCTGCCTCTGCCTTGTGTCTTTAATTGTCTAACTGCACAGGGTGGTTACTAATACATAAATATTAAGCCCCTTCTCTGAACAGGGTACCTCCCAGGCATTGTCTTTCATGTAAACTCTACAGAGTGGCTACTACTCCAATTCACGAATAGAACATCTGGAGCTCAGAGAGAGTATGCAACATGGCCTAGGTGTTAAGAGGCAATGTCAGTCTTCTAATCCTCAGCAACCAGAAATAATGTTCATCATGAGTCACTGCAAGAATAACCAGGGCCCTGGCATTACAGCAAGAGAGAGGTCAAGGACAGCATTCACCTGCCTCATCCTGGACATCTTACTTTTTGGAAGTCCCATGAGCTCTACCCCAGTGCTTAACAGGAGGAGAACCACGGTAGCCTCTCGAGGAGACATTGCAGGAACAAACCTTCACAGGACAGGCTTCTCTGGGTATTTCAGAATAGTCCCTTTGTTATAAAACATAGGTCCACACAAAGTCTTGTACATGAATGGTCACAGTAGCATACAGTAGACAAAAAATTGCAAACAACCCAAATGCCTTTCAATGGATGAATGGATATACAATGTGATATATCCATACAACAGACTATTACTCACCAATAAGAAGGAATGAATTGTTCTCATGATACAACATAGATGAAGCTTGAAACATTGGGCTCAATGAAAGAGGCCAAATATAGAAGATGACATATTATGTAATGCCATTTATATGAAATTATGGAATAGTCAAATCCATGAGAAAAATAGTATGTTGGTGTTTGCCAGAGTTTGAAGGAGAGAAAAATGGAGAGTGACTATTAACAGAGATGGGGTTTCTTTGGGGGGTAAAGAATGTTCTGGAATTCCAGTGAGATTAGCCCATATCACAAAATCCAAAAACCAGAGATGCTGGCGTGGATGTGGAGAAAAGGGAACACTCCTACACTGCTGGTGGGAATGTAAACTA